TGTTGGATTTGAACCTTCAGCTCTCTCAGTTATTTTTAGATGTTGTTCTAAATCCATCTGCACTGCATCTGAACTGAAATTGTTCCCTTACATCTTGTCTTGATTTGATGTAACATAGAATGTTCATCAAAAAATGCATCTCTGTTGATCACAATCTTTTTTGCAATTAGATCCCAAATTTTGTATCCTTTCATATCTTTCTTGTAGCCCAGAAAGATGCACTTCTTGGATTTTGCATCAAGTTTTGATCTTTCATCTCCAAGTATATGCACATAAGCAGGACAACCAAAAATCTATAAATGATTGAAATTAACTCGATTACCTGTCCATACCGCTTCTGCGACCTTGCCACCCAACAATGCCCAAGGTGATCTATTGATGAGATAACATGTCACATTCACAGTCTCTGCCCAGAAACTCTTAGGAAGCCCTGCATTCAGTCTCAAGCATCTTGCTCTTTCAGTTAAGGACATATTCATCCTTTCTGCCACACTATTCTGCTGTGGTGTTATTCTGCTGTGGTGTCTGCTGTGGTGTATTGCACACTGAAAATGCCTCTGAATCCCATGATCCACACAGAACATCTGTAACTGCAAATCTGTGTACTTTGTGTCATTATCAGACCTCAAATACTTGATCGTTCTGTCAGTTTAGTTCTCCACTCAGCTTTCCACGGCTTGAATTTAGAGAAAACTTCAGATTTCAGCTTCAAGAAATACACCCAAACTTTCCTGAAGTAAATGTAACAAAATACTGAGATCCTCCCAATGACGATTCCTTGGTAGGGCCCCATACATCAGAATGCACATAATCACGAATCCATTTTGTTTTATGTTTTTCAGTCATAAAAGTGGTTCTAGTCTGTTTTTCTAGAACACAAAACTTACAAAGATCAAGCTTGTAGCTTTTAACACCATGCAACAAGTTTCTTCTATGCAATCCCGCCATCCCACGTTCACTGAGATAACCAGACGCATATGCCATAGCTTTGTAGTATCATCATCTGACTCCACAGAATGAACTCTACCTACAACTGTACTCCCCAACAGTTTGTCGATATTGCCTACAGTTAAATCAGTTAACTTTCCTTTCATCACCGTCAGTGCACCCTTAACAATTCTGATTGTTTCTCTATTCTCATTTGCCTTAGGAATGAAACCATTTCTATGTAAAGTGTCCAAGAAATCAAATTCTTTTTCAGATCTGAAGTATGTCTGACATCACATAATGTTCTAACTGTGTCATCATACATATTAATTCTGACTTCTCCAATACCAACAATATTGCAGCATCTATGATCAACTAGATACATTGAGCCAGAATTAGTTGACCTATATGAAGTAAATCACTCATTGTTAGGTGTTATGTGATAAAAACATCATGAATCAAGAATCCAAAACATCATGAATCAACATCATGAATCAAGAATCCATGCAACTGTAAACTGAGTTGATGAAACTAAAAACATATCGTCATCACTGCAATCTGAATTGTCACTCTCCACCACATTTACAGACTTCGATGATGCATCACCTTTCTCCCCAGTCTGCTTCTTCAGCTTTGGACAATCTCTCTTCAATCTGACTCCTTGCAATTGTAGCAATGAATTATTTTTTTGTCTTTAGACTTGGATATGGAATTTTGCCTTCTAGAACCATCCTTTTTTTCTTCCTTCCACGATCTTGCTTACCTTTAACATATAAACTGTCACCATGAGAGCTTTCCCCTGCATTCTGCTTCCGCTGGTTGTGAGCCAACAATGCTGCAGTAATCTTATCAACTTTGATACTTTGATAGTTTCTTTCCATAGTTTCTTTCCCATATGTAAGAGTAGTCACCGGGTGTTCTTAGGAAGAAGACAATGAACACAACAAAATCATTGTTTGATCTTCATCCTCAATAGTCATATCAAGCCGTGATAAACCTGTGATTATTTTATTGAACCAATTAACATGTTGCGCCAGATCAGAACCTTCTTGCATCTTCAGCCCATACAACTTTTGCTTCAAATACAATTTATTCGTCAGAGATTTAGCCATAAATTGAGTTTATAATTTCTTTCAAATCTCCCTTAGAGATTTTAGATTCATCACGTGATACATAACTTCATCTGTCAGACATAAACATACAATTCTTGTTAATTCTTCCCAATCTTCATCCTCCATGACATCTGGTTTTGCTGCCAGCAAAGATTTCAAAGTTCCATGTTAAACCAACAGATCTTTTACTCTTGTTTGTCACAATCCGAAGTTACCAGTTCCATCAAACTTCACCACATCGAATTTTGCACTAGATATTGTCATTTAAAATTGATCCTGTAATAAATTTTTCTACAAATAAATTCTTTTGCAAATTCTTTGCTGAAAATCTTTCTTAAAAAAAGATTGAAAAAAATTTCTTAAATAATTTTTCTTAATTAAGTTTTTCAAAAAAGCAAAAAGTTTTTTTTTTTGAAAAAAATTGAAATATTTCCTTAATTAAAGTTTCTTAATTAAGCTCCCTTAATTAAAATATTTCATTTAATTAATTGAATTTCAAAAACTTTCCTTTCCTGTAGAGAAATAAAATCGGAAGTTCTTTTCACCTTCCGTTTTTCGCCTCCAGGAACCAGCAAGAAAACAAAAATCGGAGGGGGAATATTCGCAGGTTCCTTCCAATCTCTCGCATGCCAGGAATGGAAAGCCGAATCGGAGAACATCGATTCCTTCCAAATTCTCCTCCTCAGCCACCTCCCGCAAGGTTCTCGATTTCCTTTTACCAGTTCGCCGAACCTGTCACTCGCGAGCTTCCCGTCGTTGCCGAACTCGACTTTCACGCGACCAAACTCTTTTCCTTCTTTCCTTTTGCGTCGCGGAAGAACTCCAAACGAAAGCCCTTCACACGAAGCCTTTATGCCGAGCTGTCCTTCGCGCGAAATCCTGGAACCTTCGCCGCGAGCCCTCTGCATCACGCAAGATCGCTGAAGCGCCGAAGCCGCTCGAACTTTGCCGTGCGAAGCCTGGTCCAATCTGTCGCAGAAGAGCTTGCTTTTATTTTTCTTTCCTGCCCTCGAACCTCGCTTTGATACAACTTGTTAAGAAATTAGGGCGAAAAAAACAGTAATCGACACAAATCCAGAAGAACAACAAGATTTAACGAGGTTCGACAAAGATATCTACGTCATCAGGAGCAGAGTCACGATTTTCTTTCAATGTTCAAAAAAGTGTACATAAAACAAAATATGAGATAACACATAGGGTTACATACATATCTATTTATAACCATAGACAGAACAATAGAGGAAACCTTTGGTACATTATGTAATTACCAAATTACCCATGTACCACACCGCCAACCCACATAAGTAAACTCCCCTAATTTGGACAGAATCTTTCGTTCTGCTTCGCTCCGCTCCAGCATTTGTCCCTTTATGATATATGAGCCATATCTAACAAAGAGAATATTCTTTTCAATTAAATATAAGCAGAATAACCTTAACTCCTCTTTGTTCTCATTTTAAATTGGAGAAAAAGATCAAAGATATTCTTTAATAAAAATTTGGTTACAGCAATTCTTCCAAGTGTAGGATTAGAGTGAAGTTTGATGCATTTTTTATGAATTTATTTTTTATGGTATGGTGGTGGATTGATTTGTCAATATGATTTACTTTAAAGTAATGCATAGTCTAAAGCTCTTTATTTAAATATTGTTTGTCACACGAAGGAATTACTGCATGATATTATTAAAATAAAAATAAAACTTTTTATCAACTATTTAAGAAATTAAAAGCTAAATTAAATTTATTAAGGCTCTATTTGAAATCATTTTTTTTACTTTATTTATTTTTTATTTTATTTTTTGTTTTTGGTAAAAACATAATTTTATCTCAAATCAAAACATAAATAACATAAATAATAAAAAAATGAGTAAAGTGACTAATAGTCACCAACTATTTACGTGGGGTCTTTTAGTCCTGAAATTTTTAAAAATGTTAAAATAATCCTTAAACGCTTTAAATTGTGCCTAAAATAGTCATGATAGAGGATTATTTGATATAATTTTTAAAATAATTTGTAATTATTTTGATATTTTTATAAATTTTGGTAATTTGCACAAATAAAAGTAAGAAAATAAATGTGATCTCAAAGTGTAGTTTTTGAGAAGATTAAATTGAGAGAATGACATTAAATTTTGAGATAATAACACGTCATTTGATCGTGATCAAATATAATGTAGGCCTACACAGTAAATTTTGTATATTAGGAGTGAATTAAAGGTGTGAATATGAATCTATTAAGATTATTTTTAATTTAAAATCTTATATTTATAATTGGGCCTCTCTATTTAATATTTTATTATAAATTTTGTTGTGGCTCTCTATTTAATATCTACTAATGTTACAAAAGAGAGAGAGAGAGAGAGAGAGAGAGAGAGAGATAGAGAGAGAGAGAGAGTGATAACACTTGTTGCCATGCACCATTGTCTATATCAACACTTCCAATTTCTTCTCCCCGACACCACAAGGAACATTCTCCACAATTCTATCTGAGTGGTAGTAGTTTTTTGAAAAATCAACGATGAAGTTGTTCAAGAAGAAATTATTATTAAAAAAATTATGATGAATGTTATAAATTTATTTTATTTTAAAAAAATCATAGCATTTTTCTGACAACACTTATATTTAGTTATGTTAAATTGTAAAACACAGCTTATCATCCAACTTTTTAAATAAGAAAACAAAATATAATTTTATCAAAAATCTAAAAATATGATGCGACACTGCACCTCTGCCATAAACAAAGTTACATGAAATGAACCAAAGTTATATGATCCCCTTAATGTACCTATTATCGTGTTAAGAATAATCTTATGAACGAACGCTTGGAAGTTTAATTAACTATTTTCTTTTTGGGCCGTAAAACTTGGACCAAACAGTAGTAATGGACCGGGCATAATATGGGCCGTCCTTCCTAAATTTTTAATCCCAGAGGGTGGACCAGTTCGGCCGGTTGCCTTGCGCTCACCAGTCATCAAGATCGACGCCTTCCGTAGATCTCTCTCCTTCCGGTCCCTCTCCCTACCTTCCTCTCCGATACCAGCTGCTCGAGGAATTGCCGATTGTCAAATTCAAAACGAAGGCGAGCGGCGGAAGTCAAAGGGGAGGAAGGAGGATCGAGAGGAGGAGGGGAGATGTGGGTTTTTTATTTGATATCGCTGCTGCTAACCCTGGGAATGATAGCGGTGACGCTGCGTTATTTCGCGGGACCGGACGTTCCACGATATGTGTTCTTCACCGTTGGCTACACCTGGTTCTGCTCCCTCTCCTTCATCATCTTAGTTCCTGCCGACATTTGGACTGTACGATTCCTTATCCCCATCCTCTCTTTCGATCAATTGACGTTATGGTTTTCTTGGCTATTGTTTTTGTATATTTTGCTGGGGATTTGGCACTTGGGGGTAATTTGAAGAATTAAAGGGTAAACTAGTTGGATTCGATGTTGTTACCGTAAGTTACTGCGAAGTTTGGATTTTGCTCAAGAGATTTGACAGGGAATATAATATAGAGAAATTGTTGATGAAAGATTCTCTTGTTTGATTGATAAGTTCATAATTTTAGAGATAGACGCTTTGGACTTGATGATCCCCTGAATTATCACTCTCTCTCAATTTGAAGGCATATGCCCGTGTCATTGGCATAAAATGAGTGCCAGAAATAGTAAGGAACGTGCATTGAATGTCTCAATGCAGTGTTTTGAAGTGTGTAAGACGGATTGCCGGCTATTTGCTAGGAGAGAATTGTGCGTAAGTGCCTGGAAATGAGCTAATAACCTCGATGCATTCTCCCAGCGAGAATCTGTATTTAGTGGTATGACACTGATATAGGACTTCTACCGTTGTGGGAAAATTAGTGGTTATGTTAGGAGAGTTCTACGATAAAAAACAGAGGGGAATTGAAAGTGGTGGCTTAGGGATCGGCAAAAATTGTTGATGCATAGCAACTTGGAAGCAAGGACTGACTGTGTCGGAAGTCTTTAGACGCTCATGAGGGATCACCACCTAAATCCAATCAAATTATTGGCTCCACCTACGAATGATGATAGATACAGTACTCTGACACAGAAATATTTGGGAAAATAATCTCAAAGGCATAACCTGAAATAAAAAAGTGGCTTAGTCAGACTATAATAAACATGTATATAGTTTCGTAGCAAGATAACCTAATACTAGTGCTAATTAAGGAAAAGGAGGGCTATAGTGGCTGACTCTAGCCGTTGGCTTTTGGAGCCACTCGAACCGGCGACAAATTGGATTGAAATTCTTTGTTCAGGGAGTCAAATTCCCGATTTGTGTTTTGTGTCTCGTGTCCCGCATAATGCTCTTGTCATTCTCCTCGGGTAGGAGGAGAGTTTCCGTTTCGACTATAAATATCAGAATTCATATAATAAGATGGGAGGTTGAAGACATTGAAAGTAGTTGAAATATTGTAATCACAAGACTTGTCAATCTTATTGGCGTTGTCTTTTATCTTCTTGGCAACTTTGAATAGTCCTTCAGCTTTATGTTTGAGCTTCCCAAAGGCACTTGCAAGAAGTGTCTCCTTTTTTGATATGATATGTACTAAGTCTCCTTAATAATTTTAGATATCTTGAACTTATTGTTCTGTTTTTGGTACTTGTTGTTTTTCTTGGCAATTTTCTTTCACATTTGTTCATGTTAGGATAAGAATGTCTCTGAATATAGTTTCTGCATTTGTACTAAACTTAGTAGTTGGTAGTATCGGCACTAACTTCATAGGTGTGAGAGATTCTATTTGTATATAATCTTAAAGGAGCTATAGCTTGTGGGTTGGCTAATGAACATGCTATAGTCAAACTTAATCTGAGGAAGAATCAAATCCTAGCATGTCTAGCCCAAGTTAAACCCAAGTCTGTCCTAAATCTTTTCCATTTCAATTGAACTCATGGACACATGACACAACACAATTGGTGGATTTGGTGAGTTTTTGGCATTATCATGAGGGGAATTTGGGTGTGAATTTGGCAATTGGATCTTGAATGTTGGGTTTTGCTGTGGGGCGTAACAAAGCTTGAAATTTGGTGGCATGCTGAGCTTAAGTTTGGATATTGTGTAAGATTTGGGGTGAGTTGGTGTGAGTTTGAATTTGGGGTCTGGCTTGATTCTAGATTGATGATTGGGTAATCTTGGACTGTTTGGAGTGAATTTTGGTGGGGGTTTATGGAGTTTAATTGAAATGTAGGGTAAGTTTCTAAGGCATGAAGAGCCTCCTTAAAGCTTCATAGTCCCACAAGAACTTATTTTGGAGCCTCCATATGTTGGTCGTAACATTCCAAGTGCGAGAGGTTTATGACCATGCATGTGAGGTTCCAAAAAGAGTCAAACAGTACTGTGAACCTCAAAGGAGGGAGAATGTCAGGGGTGTGTGTGAAGTTGAAAGTCCCAAGCCACCAAGGGTTAACAAGATGTTCTTAAGGCCTTATAATTCTATAGGAACTCATCCTTGAGTCTGCACATGTTGATTCTAACTTTCTAAGTGTTGGAGGTTTATAACCACCCATGTGGGGCTCCAAGAAGAGTTAAGAAGTGGTTTGAATCCTGAAAGGGGTGGATCCCATCACTTGTCCTCTAGGATAGTCAAAAGGAAAGTCTTATGGCCAGATCCTAAGTACTAAGAGGAAGACTAGACCTCATCAAAAATAAGATCAACAACAATAAAACTAGAATGCCAAAATTTTCATGGATTAAACAAGAAACGCAGAGGTAAGCAGAGAATGAAGCTAAAAAAAAAATCATGGAGGAGAAAACTTCACGAGAAAATTGCAGCAAGTCGTCGACATCTAACGGAGGGAGGGGAGTGGAACTAGGTTTCAACCCTAGCAACACGGGTGAGAAATGATGAGTGGCGAGGTTATATGCGACTGCACGAACTGGGATTACCGGAAATCTGAAGTGACACCGACGTCAAAGGCACTTCGCAACGGAGCTGTAGCTGCGGACTGCACCCTCCTCTTCCGTTGCTGCGTTCGTCTCGATGCAGCCTTTGACCGACATAATGTTGGCGATAAAAGGGTAACCACATGCTGCTTCTGCTTCTCCAAGATGTAAAAGCCGCAAAAAAGTCGCAACAACGGGGTCCAAAATGGGGACTAAGATGCATCGAAATATATAGCCTTGAATTTTCTTGATGAATGCTCGAAAAATTTTGTTCATTAGCTGTATGAAAGTTTTTGGAACATTGGATAAAGCCAAAGGACATAATTTTCCAATCGTATAATCCATCCCTAGTCTTGAAATCTATCTTCTATTCATTTTGGAGTCATTTTCATTTGGTGGTAACACTGTAAGTCAATCTTGGAGAAGGTATTGGCTTCATGCAACTGATCTAATAAATCATCCAACCGTTAGATGAGAAGTAAATATTTGATAATAGTTTTATTTGCAACCTTGCTATGAATACATTTACGTCATTAATCATCATTCTTTAACACAATCAACTAGTACTCTTGCAAATTAAGTTCCTAGCCATCAAGTTTGTAACTTGGTTTTGCAACTTCTTGTCTTGCTCCGATCTTTGTTGAGTAGGGGCAACAAGCAATTCAAGGCCTTGAAGAACTTCTAGGTTTGATGATTTAAGTTTGTTAAAAACTTAGCGAATTGCAGAACCTTGTTCAACCTTAATAGTTGACGTGATCAACTAGGCCTAGATGTATACGTGTTAAAACTTCTTGGTGGGGTTGCTGATGGATGAGGATCATTATTTCATTTTTGAACACGTTTGGGGGACATAATTTTGTTGTCGGCCTATTTGTGATATTTAATTAGGAGGAAATGGTGCTCATTTCGCTGAGATTTCGTTGACTTTTTGGTTTGTCCTACTCCCAACTTAAACTTAAGGTTGATGAAATCCAACTTAAATTATTGTAGCAATTGTTATACTCTGTAGCTAATGGAATTTCGAAGATTTAGGAACTCTTAGAATAGTAGGTTTACTTGGAAAGATGAACTAATTAGTTATGCTATGTATAGGAACGTTGAAGCTGATCATTTAACATCATGTTTAGGAATGCAATATTGTATTTAATGAGCCATACACTACCATGGCTCTTATTTTGTTCAATACTATAGGTTTATTTTTAACTTTTTATGAATTATTGCATTTCAGTTGTATGTGTTATTGCTTTATTATGTTTTTTTGCATGATGCATGAAGCACTACCTGTATTTAATTTAGCATTTTATGCTACATTTGTCAGAGCATTTTCCTTTGGATAAATTATTACATCCGGACTCCGGATGCAAAATTTGCGTCTGGAGTCTAGTGGGCATGTGTTACGTGGCAAGTGGGTCTCACCTCTCTAATAAACATACCCAACCAGTATATTACAGTGGGGCTCACTTGCCGCGTGGCAAGTGCCCACTGAACTTTAGACGCAAATTTGCGTCTGGTTTCCTGATGCAATAATCTTTTTTTTCCTATGAGGACCTTTGGTTATCTTGTGAAGGATATAGATTTAGACAGCTTTCGTTGGTATCTTTATTCTTAAGCGCCACTGATGCGAGAGCTTGCAGCCCGCGGTACTGTAGTAGCCACAGTATCGCGGATGTGTTACTGTAGCTGCTACAATAACCGCGATCCCCCTTTCCTATTTAATTCCTTTTCTTTCTTTTTCTGATGTTTTCCCATTATAATTCCTTTCCTTCTCTACTTCTTTCACATTCCTCTCCTTGCCTATTATATCTCTTACCTATTCTACTCTTTACCATATTTTATCCACTGATCCCCTCTTTATATTGGTGTTGTTTACTGAGGTTATAGAAGGAGGTTTTTGGATGATTGCTGATTTCAACTATTGCCTTTGAAGCGTTCTTCCCCTCCGGGGGCTGTATTTAATGACGAGAATGTACTTCGGCTGTAACTCATCCGAGGTGGTGGCCGTCTCCATGGGTTCAGGTGGTGCTCTGGCCGTAACTCGACCCCAACAAAATATGTCTTTCTGCAGCCCCTACCCTCTTACATAGTCCAACAGTCGCCAGCTTGTTGCGCTCCCTCCGGCTCACCTTCAGCAGACCCCAACCCTTCTCCACACATTCCCATAGGTTGTGAGCTTGTTGTTCCCCTCCGGCTTACCTCCAGAATCCCGCCAGTCGACCCCTACACCTTCTAGCATTTGTCTACTTGTTGCTCCCCCTTCTCCACAGTTAAACCTGCTATCCCTTCCTCTGTTTCCCTACCACCTGCCCTAGTTCCCTCTCCCTACTGCTGCCAGCATCCCCACCTACTACTGTCACCTTTATTAGAGTCCGTGTGTGTGTCTTTATGTTTGTGTTGTTGTTTGTTATCGTTATTTTATGTTGCAAGAGTCTTATTTGTACCCTTTTGAATTTAGTAATAATAATTGTGTTATTTCATGGTGGTTTCGGTCTTTTTTCTCTGGTATTATTTGGTATCAGAGCTAGCCCAACCCTAGTCCTATCTCTGGGTTCTCTAACATCCACCCCCACCCAACTCATCTACTACCAAAATTTTTTGGCCCTAAATGCTTTGATGGATAAAGTCAAAGCTCCCCAACCTTGGGTGATTGATGCGGAAGCTTACCGTGATACTTTAGCAGCTACAGTGCAACAGACGCGTTACTGTAGCTGTTACAGTAACCGCAATCCCCCTCTCCTATTTAATTCTTATTCTTTCCTTTCCTGATGCTTTCCCATTATAATTTATTTCCTTCTCCACTTCTTTGTCATTCCTCTCATTGCCTATTATATCTCTTTCCTGTCTTACTATTTATCTATTTTATCTACTAATCCCCTCTTTATATATGTGTTGTTTTCTGAGGTTAGATGACGAGGCTTTTGGATGATTGAGGCGTTCTGCCCCTCCCGCGTAGGGGGGGCGGTGGTTGTATATGATGGTGAGGAGGTGCTCCTGCTATATCTCGTCCGAGGTGGTGACTGTCTCCAAGGGTCCGGGCAGTGCTTCGGCTGTAGCTCGACCCCAACGAGACCCCCCTCTCCCACGAATTCTAGCTGTCGCTAGCTTACCGCCTTCCCTTCGGCTCACTTTCAGTAGACCGCCAACTTATTGTTCCCCTCCAACTCACCTCCAACATCCTGCCAGTTGACCTCTACGCATTCCAACAGTCGTCTACTTGTTGCTCGCCCTTCCCTACAGTCATACCTGCAGCCCCTTCCGCTGTTTCCCTACCACCAGCCCTAGTTCCCTCTCTCTGTTGCCGCCAGCATCCCCACCTGCTATCGTCACTCTTATTGGAGTCTATGTGTGTGTCTTTATACTTGTGCTGTTATTTGTTGTTGTTATTTCATATCGTAAGAGTCTAGTTTGTATCCTTTTGAATTTAGTATAAATAATTGTGTTTTTTCATAATGGTTTGTCTTTTTCCTCCGGTATCATCTGGATTAATTCTTTAGATCCTTAATTTCTTATACATAATCATGTGCAATCTTCACAATGTTTATACGTATAATTATGTAGCTTAGTTTGTCAATCATATCTCTTCTTGTATTTTGGGATAGCAAATTAGTTTCTTTTATTTGCGTATAGTCTACTTATAAACCAAAACAATTCAAGGGAGGTTGTTGGTGATCCGGAAGGATTATTACGCTTACCTTGTTGAACACGATCCATATTTTTTTATTGATTTAGCTTGGGTTTCATCTGCTTGTTTGCATTTTTTCACTAGAATATATTTCCTATCAAACAATATGGTTGAGCTAATATGCGGACGCTAATCAGCAATGGAAGTGCACAGCTATGTTAGTGAAGCAGATAAATTAGTGGATAAGATATTCTTTTGTAAAGCTAGCGTAATTTGTAATATTCTTTTGTACGCTGAAATAGTGAAGTGCATGTAATTGCCCCCCATTTAATAGTAAGTACATTATTGCTAGCCAATACCTTTTGTTTTTGAAAAATTCCTGCCTATTATGCGTGCTAATTATACCATTTTTACTTGACCATAAACTTCTATTTGTTAAATTGATTTGTTCCCTTTCATGTAGACATTGATTGGGCATGATAACGGAGGTATTGCTTTCTTCTGGAGCTGGTCATATTGGAGTACCTTTGCTCTGACGTGGTATGCTATCTAGTTGGGTGTTATTGTTCAAATAAAGGAAAAAGTCTATTGATGCATATCTTAGTTGTGGAACTATAGCGTTTTATAATCTTTCTGAATAGAGGGAGATAAAATTTGAAAAAAGAAAAAAATGTGCAAGCCAGATTACTGTCACTCTTCTTAACTTTATGGTTTTAATTTAGTGTTTTCTTCTAAGCAGACAATGTATTTTGTGACTTATTTTGGAAAATAGTAAACCATGTGCATTTTAGAAAAAATCACTGGTCACATTATCTTTTAAGAGTGCTCAATACTCTTATTAACTTTTCAAAGACTCTTGAAACTTGTTTGGGATCATTTTTGTTTTTAGTTTGTTTAATTTTTACTTTCGTTTTTATTTTGTTTTATTTTTTTACTTTTGTTTCAAAATTTGTTTTTATTTTGTTTATTTTTTACTTTTGTTTTAAAAATATATTTGTTTAAATGTATTTTTAACTTATTTTTAATTTTCTTTTAAAAAAATAAATCAACTTTTTCTTAACAATGTCCGAGATAACTTTTAGACATTTTGAGTGTTTGTAATAATAACTATTACCTTCGCTAGCCGCTGGCTATTGCTGACAATTGCTGCCCACCACTCTTATATCTACTGGCTGCCACTTGGCTTTGCCAGTAGCTGCTCATCGCCATCATAGGGGCTTGCCTTTGCTGGTTGCCATGGTAGCCAGGACAAACATATTTAAATATTCAATTTTCAATAAATATAAAATTAAAATTATATTTTTTAACGCATCAAGGATGTTTATTTTTAAATCTAAATATAAACAAAATAAAATAAAAAAATAAAAATAAAAGTGATCTCAAACACTCTCATAGCAAATTAGAAATTCTCAAATAGAATGAATTACATATTCTTTTGAAACAAGCCGAAGTGCCTTGTACAGTCGTATTACATCCTTAAAGCTTTGTTTCTTTGTTTTTGTTATGAATGAGAACCGTTGTTTCTTCTAGATAAAGCAAAAGTAATTACAATAAACAAATGAAATTTCTCATAGCATAAAAAATAAGAGACACTAGGGCATAAAAGAGTTCACACGGTGGTGAACATAGAGGATGTTACCATGAGTTGAGGAGAAGAAACACCCTTTGGAAAATGTATTCTTAGATGCCCCCTAAATCTAGGGAGGCAAGGGGCTTTGTCAACCATGAATTTGATTGAGAGATGAATATTGGATGGGCAATAGTTTCAAGAAGAAGCTGACAAAGGCAATTTATTTTCCAGGCTTTCTTGGAAGTTCCAAATTATCTAGTGCTTCACAACTGACCCTGGAGTCATAGTGCTGAGAATGTGGGAGTGCGACAATGTTGTTTTTTGGATCAAGTCTTTAGTTATTGAAATATTTCTTGAAAATAAAAATCAGACAATAAATGTAAACTTTATTTGTTGTAAGTCATAGTTATCACCATCATGGCCATGACGTAAAATAGCTTAAGGTAAGGGTGAACTAATGCAATACAATAGTGTTGGAGGTCTTAGAGGTTAAGGGAATTGATTAAATTGTAAATAACATGAATATAAAGAAAACCAAATAATGAAAGATGAACATGGATGAAAAGATTGATTAGAATAAAGAGAATGAAAATTAATAACCAAAAATTTTAAATTCTGCATTTGAACAAGAAAGTTGCTTCCTAGACTAATTTCAATCTTCACACTTCCTCAAGAACATTGCATCAAAGTCAAAGAGTATTTTATTCATTATTTTTGTAATATAATAATCCAAAAGATCCTTAGTTATTAACTAGCATTTTTAAGTAACTGAATAAAAACTCTATATGATCCTTAATTATTAACTAGGCATGTCCATTTTGTTATTCGGTTGTTTTTTAACCATATAATATGTTCATGATTATCTTCATAACAACCTAGGATTTTATTGGTTTACCATGTATAATTTGTTTGGCTGATTCTGTTTTTAAGATCTTCTTGTCTCTCTAAGCAGGATTGTGGTTCCTACTATTCAGGGTTATGAAGACGCTGGAGATTTTACAGTGAAGGAAAGATTAAAAACTAGTATTCATGAAAATCTAGTCTTTTATTTGATTCTGGGAGTGATCGGACTTCTTGGACTCCTGCTACTTCTCATCATGCACCGAAGTTGGTTAGTGGTTTTGCATATTCTCCAATTTAATGATTTTAAGCATATATCGATGTTCTTTTTTTCTATGGAAGATTTTTCTAGTTTTGGGATGCCAAAATAATTCATGAGAGAACATAAACATGCAGTGTTTTCGGTTGGAATTTATTGAAGTCCTCTTTGAAAATTCTCAAGACTCCAATTTGGGCACTTTTACATGTTTCATAAGCCTTTTTCTTGCGCTTTATTCAATCTAATGATATTCACAACAATAACAGTGCAAAGAACCTTACTTACCTCTAAGAAGAAAATAGTACTGATAAGTTTAGAATAGCATCAATAAAAACTTGAAAAGAATAAATTGATTTCAAAGAAAGTAAATTTTTGTCCATGAGAAATAATTTTGGGTGCTATCCGGTAGTTACTTTTTTTCTTCAGAGATTTATAAAGTCATTGAACGGCTGACAGACGATGAGAATTAAATTTGGACTAGCATGTATTGTACAAGTGTTTATCCATGCCTTCTTACATTGTTACATTTGTTTCTTCTTAATTTTGTTATGACTGGATGCTATTATCAAAATAGCAAGGCTTTTCTTTGCAAAGCATTAAGCATGTACAACGTTGTGTTGAAGGATTTATTTCCTTCAAATTAAATGAAACTTGCGTTTAAGGGAAGAATTACAACAAATTATTCATGCTGTTATATTACTTGAACATTTTGCCAACCAAAAAAATGCTTGTATTTATGCTTGATCTGCTGTTATAAGTCAGAAGTAAAATCGTATTCAGAAACTATTTACATGTGTTTAACCTTTATTAAAATTTTCAAGTTATTTTTAAAGTGTATTTACTATGCGTCATCTGTTATTTTAACTTCAGCTGATTTTCTTCAACTAATTCTTTGTTTGTTATAATATTTTTCTGTACCTGTAAAATGAACAGTCATTGCAGATCATTTTATTGACAGGAATAGAAGTATTATGGGCTTAGCCATGGCTTGTTCAAATACATTTGGACTTGTGACCGGTGCATTTCTTCTTGGTTTTGGATTGAGTGAGATCCCAAAGAGTATATGGAAGAATGCTGATTGGAACAATCGTCAAAAAATCCTTTCCTACAAGGTTGCAAAAATGGCTGTGAAATTAGATGATGCTCATCAAGAATTTTCAAACGCAATCGTGGTAAATATAAACCATAGTTTTCTTCTTTTAAAATTGATAAGCTTATAATAGTAACTTATTTATTGCGGTACATTATACCTGGACAAGAAATTTCTCTTTATCTTATATTCTCCCTTAATTTTATATGTCCAATGTATGTTAGCGACTATAGTTAACGATACATTAAGTATGATGGGAGCTCTATTGAGTTTATGTTTTTGAACTGTAAAACAGTAAACAAGATCAAGGACCAAGGCTAATGAGGCTAAAAAAAAGTATCATTGTGAAAAAAGAAAGAAAAAAGTGTCAAAATAATCCTGACTTTTTGCAGTTTGCCATTTTAGTCCTAGAGTTTATAAAAGTGTCAATTTAGTCTTCATTTTTTTATATTGGTTTAAAAAGTTAATAGTGATGATTATTTTAGCCCATATTAAAAGTGCATGGGGACTAATTTAGTACTTTTATAAAATTTTGGACTAAACGGCCTCGTTTAAATAATCAGGGGACTATTTTGATATGCTTTTTTGGAAGCTATTTTCAAGAATGAAATATCCACATGTCCAACCCATTCCACAGAAATTAAAAAAAAAATGAGAAAAATATCTTCTTCAATGGTCCATATACTCCTTATACTCTTCTTCCTGTCTTAATTATCTAAGTAATGATTCTTAACGCCTTTTGATATGGTAGGCACCCTGATCATTATGGATCAAGGAGTTTACACTTACATTTTTTGTATATGATCACATGCATGGTGAGGTCGAGACAGCAAGTCACTTTGGCCAAGTGCTTGAAGTTTTGTAGTTTATTCAAGAGATCTTGGGTTCAAGGCCTTGCATATGTGGTGTGTTTATGTTGGGTGGGTGGGGAGAGATTGGTCTTTCAGCCAAGAGGTCTTGGGTTCGAGGCCTTGCATATGCGGTGTGCATGCGTTTAGGGGTACGTGTGTGAGGGAAAAAAAGAGTTATTGTGGTCGAGAAACTCTTCTCCTCTTAACTATGATGCTAATTGCAGGTACTATTCTCCTCTTAATCATGATATTAGTAAAAAGCACTGTGCAAACCTCTTAGAATTCCATGATAAAGATCATTTTGGCGGCTGCCTTGTGTAAAAGATATCATATCTTTTCTTCATGTTTAAGGAAAAAGCGCTAGATTGAGAAGAGGATGTACTATAAATGTAAGCCACCTTGGCCTAGTGGGGAATGTAAGTTGTCTTTCAACCAAGAGGTTCGAGGCCTTGCATATGCGGTGTGTGTGCTTTTGGGAGTGTGTGTGTGGGAAGAAAAAGAGTTACTGTGGACACTCTTCTCTTAAATGTGTTGCTAATTGCAAGTACTATTCTCCTCTTAATCATGATATTAGTTAAAAGCATCATGCAAATCTCTTAGAATTCCATGTTAAAAATCATTTTGGTGGATGCCTTGTGTAAAAGATATCATATCTTTTCTTCATGTCTAAAGAAGAAGCACTAGATTGAGAAGAGGATGTACTATAAATATTGAGTTCTGAAGGAAAAGAGGTAAGCATAATGGCTTAAGAAGTTTGGGATTGTGCAACCCTTGCCAAACATAGAAATCTAGGCAACTCTGGCCATGCTTTTAAAGCCAGGATGAACTTAAAGCATATTTTATTCTTTGTTGAGCCTATTGAGAATAAGATTTAGATCAGGCTGATTATGCAATGAAAGTCTATTGAAGGTGGATATCGTTATCTTTCCTATCATCAATTTTATCCCATCTTGTTGGTTTTGAATTTATGAATCCTCTATTTGTTCACTTCTATTAAGTTCTACATTAGGTGCTACTTTCTAATCCTTTTACTTTAGTTAGATTGCATAAACTGTTAATTGTAGAATTGGTCTTTTAGCAGGATAACATCCAAAAACGACTACTGTTAAAAAATTTTGGCATGTTTTTTCTTTGTTCTCAATTTTTTCTTCAGCAAAAAAAAAAAAAAAAAAAAAAATTTTTTACCATATGTACTTTCCTAGATTGCTCAGGCCACATCCAAGCAGATGTCTAAGAGGGATCCTTTGAGGCCATACATGGATGTTGTTGACAACATGCTTGTCCAAATGGTATTTCTTGGTTGATAAGATTCATTCTCCTTGTCATAAACTACTTATGCCATTGTATTTAAGTTGATTGAAGATAAATCATTTTACTTAGCTAAAGGAAGATCCATCTTTCAAGCCGGCTGGGGGACGCTTGGGTGAAAATGATATGGATTATGATACAAATGAAAAAACAATGGCTACACTAAGACGCCAGCTGAAGAAAGCTCATGAGGAGTATTATCGATGTAAGAGGTATTGATCCATAAGTTTAATTTTTCACCTGATTTGTAGTTGATCAAGTATTTTACCGCTTTTATGCCACTATTTAGAAATGTATTGATGGAATAGGTAAACAAATATGTAAATTAAGCTTTAAGATGAAAAAAATGTTGAAGCTTAGTTTTTGGGCTTTAATAATTTCATAAGTTGCTTATGGTTCATATGGTTTTTGTGTAACATCTTGTGTATACCTTTTTTGCAGTGAATATATGGCATATGTAATGGAGGCTCTAGAGTTGGAGGACACAATAAAAAATTACCAACACTGTGATTCAACTAGATGGCAAGTTTACTGGGACTTTGTGTTTGACTTTTTGGAATATTCTCTTTTTTTAATTTCTTGACATTTTGTTCATTTTTTATTTATTTATACTTTCTTTTCACTGCACAGAGATTTGTTTTCTAATTTCTAGCAAGTATGCACCTATCATTATTAGACTTATCCCAACTATCTGGTGTTAGTTTTATGAAACCTCTTTTTTCTTTCGTTTCATCTGGATGCCATCTGAAGAGCTAAACCTACTCTTTGTTAATCGGGTTGCGCAACTTCTGACCATGTAACCTTAAATCTATATTTTCTTTTTACTAGTATTTTGAAACTAATCTATCTACTCATTCAAGTGCATTTTTAATCATTCATTATATATGTTAATCATTGTCAGCGTCGTCATTATTAGCCTTATTTCAACCATTTTAGTATTGCATTATGAATCCTTATTTTTCGTTTATTCTTGTTGAGTGTGATTGGTGTTAAATATATTCATAAATCATTTTGAAAGTCATTCTTGCATGCAATTTGAAGTATACCCTTTTTTTCTTCCTAAGTCTTTGATAAATTTATTTACTCTTCTAAAGGATATATTCTATATTTTGTTGTGCATGTCTAAACAAACTAATTATATTTTCATTCTTCTTATTTTCAATAGATGTCATTCTAATATTTCTTTTAATATAATAATTTATTAATTTATCTTTCCTAAATTTTTGTACATTAGTTTTAACATTCTCATTTCTATCATATTCCACTTAACTTTATAACAACCCAATATTTAAATCCAATGACATACCTAGCCTAATTGTGGTTTTATGAAATTTATTTTTGTGCCTTCATTTATTCTCTCATCACTTAAAAATATGTAATAAAAGGAGGTGCTGACAAGGAAGATTTTCTTTCAGTGACTTAATAATGATACTACTAATCTCAGATGAAGTTGGCATGTTTGATAAAATTTGACTATTTTGACAAAAGACCGACTCCCAAAATATATTGCAACTCATTTAGACACCAGAAACCTTGTATTCCCAAAAATTCAATACAAGTTGAAAACAATTAGTGGTGCATTTTAAGATTTTAAGTCTACCCCATTTTCTTTCATTTAAGATTTTTAGTTTGTTGCTTCGAAGAATTGAACTAATCACGCAAACAATAATGGTGTTGTGAAGGCAAGTTTTTTTCTTTTAGAACTTCCTTCATTTCAGCCCAAGCAATGGTGCATTTTCTTTTCCAAGTTTTCCCTTTTATTTCTCCATATTCGTCAAAGTCAATATATTTCAGTTCTACAAATCTCACTTCTAGCTCACCAGATATTTTTTCCACAGGAGGAAATTATTTGTCCATTAACCAATCAGAAAATATCTTAGAATCCATTTTTTCATTAAAAATAGATGCTTTAATTTTAACTTTTTTAGATGAATGATATTATATCAAATTGTAGTGCTGCTGTGAAAATTTCAACCATTCTTGCAATCAAATCTTAACTTCTGAATGCGTATACACTGAAAACAATTCTGTATGATATCAATTTCACTTGTGTGCCGTTGAGTTTTGTTCCATGTGCTTGCATCACCATGGTCTGAAACGTTAACCTATTATCTTGGCCTTTAAATTATGAAGAAGCAGCCAGCTGTTATGTGGCCTTATAGGTAGCAATTGTAATGAAGTCAGATTTTCTGGCAAATTGGTGTTTTAAGATTTTAAATTTGTTGCACTTTTGATATCCACTTGTTTGTAAATCCTTGTATGTTCGGACATAGTTCTCCATCATTGTAAATGGTACCTCTGCATTTCTAACCAGTTTGAACTGCAAATTTCATTTTTTCTGGTTTATCATCAGCTAGAAAGCTCATCTCAGTCGTCATGGCTACCTTGAATTGTGGTTCCAGGTCTGCATGGGTAATTTCTTATTGATGTGCTCTATTTGTTGCCCGCAGGAAATATATTTCTAGTTTCAGAGGAAGTCGGACTGGAGCGTTGGGATCATTTGTGGATACATTGGGTAACATAGTTTTTATGAAGTCTGGCATTCTACTGTATGAATTTTGTGACTAGTAATTAGATTACAACTAGTAAACTGGGAAATGGTAATTTCTGCTGATATTGCAGAGTTTTTGTGGCGCTGCTTTCTCAAAAATAGGGTTAAGAAATGTGCAGCAGTGTTACTTGGCTGTATGACTGTTGCGATCCTATTGGCCGAGGCTACTATTCTGCCTAGTGGGGTTGATTTGTCACTCTTTTCCATACTTATAAACACGGTTGGGAAGCAGGAGATGCTCGTTCAGGTAAACGTTTGGAGAGATGACATTACCATTTATTGATGAACTATTTCGATTTGCTCAAAGTGTTTTTTTTTTTTCCTTTCTTTATGATTTGGGATTGATTTATTATGTTTAGCCATGCATGAATTAAATCTAGGATAAGGTTTTCCTTTTTAGATTATCATTTATAGTATAATGTTCATTGTTGCTATAATAATCGTTACTATTACCCCAACCATTTGGGCTTGACTTTCTAATTCATCCTCCCTTCACTTGTAAAGTTTTGATATAAACGAGGGCAAACAAATCTGCTTGTCATGAAATTCTCTTATGTTATTTTTATTCCTAAGAATTACTTAACCACAGAAGCATTTTCGATGCATTTTGGTTTTCATGGTTCTCACAGCTATATAAATTTTCAAATTTCAACTATAAACCTTTAGTGTGCTGTTTGTCTATATTTTTTTTTTTCTGATTATAGACTGATCTTAGCACAGTAGCGCCAGTGTTAAACTAGTTTGGGGATTAAATGTTGGGAAGAATGATAGGTCAGAACAAATTTACTGAGAGGCTGATATAAAAAACTCAACTAATGTCAGATCTTAACTAAGGTAGCCACTAACTATGATGAATGCAGGTTAATCTCATTCTCCAACGTGGATGGGTTATGGGGTGATTAAACTATGCTAACTGGATGTTGACCTCAATTTTCGTGAGGTCTAGTCTTCCGCTTAGGGTTTAGGATCTAGCCTTAGGAATCTCCCTTCGACTATCTTAGAACCTTAGAAATGGGACCCGCCTCATTCTAGAAATTCAACCCGCTTCGGTACTCTTTTATGGTTTCGCGTGTGTGGTATCGACTTCTAACACTTAG